AGCACATTTTACCCTTTTTTAAAATAAAATGAGTGTACTTTAGTCACTAAACACAAGTCGAATTTTACTCTACTGCACTAGCACGTCTTCGTATATTCAGCTCTAAGACTGGATTGATCTGTCACAATACACTGGCTCCTGCCCTATGATGTATCCAGTAAAATATACTAAAGTACACCCACACAGCACCTGGTATAGTAGATTTTTTAAACACTCATATATGCTCGTCTTGTAGTAAATTTAACACTCTTTCCGATGGTATGTCTAAATTTGATGTGGCTGTAAGAATAACAAAGATATCTTTGTTTTTATGAAAAAAGGCACAACATTTTTTGAAATCAAAAAATGTTAAATAGAAGAGCAACTATCAACTTTCCAAAAAAATCTTATACTACTTTTTTGTTGAAAATTACTTTTATCATAACCCCCTGAAGTTTGGCCATCACCATACGTTACACCCTGTATACATTCGAGGTAAAGTGCTAGTTTACATACAATAAACCTGTGAGGAATATACATCTAAACATAACACGCTTTTCGGTTTTTCTAAGTGATGGACAAATGTGTAAATGCACTTGTACCTGTCCTAAACCATGGTAGCTCTTGTGTCATTGCTCACACCAATTTGTCTACTACAGAGATGTCTTGCAAATGAAACAAACCAAAGAGTAGAAAAGCAACAACAGAAAAGCAACTATTAACCGTTAATGCCGACAGCAATGACACATCAACAAGGTTTCACCTTTATGAGACTATTCATTCTGAACATGCGCTTTACGAATAACAAGGCTAATGTTAATTTTTTTACTTTATTTAAATTTAGGAATATTCTCTTATAACGTTTTTTGTAAGTTTTAAGCACATTAGTGTATCTATTTTACAAAACATGTGTTGGTTGATCTTAAGTACTTTTAAATCCTTGTAAAAATAAATTAATTTGAAGTGGTTCATTTTTACAACAGCTATGTAAATAGTACACATAGGTCAGATTCGGTCTATATAACTCTTCAACTATGACAATTTGTTGCGGGTTGTCTAAATATGTGACATCACACTAAAAGAGTCTATTACATTGAAAGATACGACATATGAAGTACAGAGTTGGAAAATCCACATGGTCCATCTGCCTTTACATGAGAGCGACAAAGTTAAGTAAAGAAATCCGTGCGATAGACAAGGATGGCTATAGTGAAGACGTTTCATAATCTGAATAGTCACCGCCAGTTTCGGGTTAGAAGTGGGAGTGACTATTCGGATTATGAAACGTTTTCAATTTAACCATCCTTGTCTATCGCACGGATTTCTATTATTTACTTTATCGCTCTCACATAACGCCCGATGTACCATGGGGACTTTCCGAACCTGTATGCTTTGTATGTTATATTTCACCAATATTCAATAAACTTTGCTATTATTAAGTCAAGTTTTTTTCATCATACCACAATTAGATCAGCCAAATTTGTCTTCACCCACTGTTTCTTATTAATATGGTAATGTTTTCTAGGAATTTCTTTTTTCTCTATAAATTTTTGTATTGAATTTAATCATTCATTTCATAAAAAAACTTATAATGAAAATTTTCGAAACATATTTTTTTTAATTTTCTATTTTCTACAAATAATTTGTAGTTCATTTTATTTTACATTTTGTAGACACAGAATAAACGATTTTGAGGTATTTATTTCTAGTTTTATACAAATTACACACAACACTGTCCTACATAGTTACTAAATTCTATTTATAATATTCCCTCGTAATTTGAAATGCTGAATTCATTCAGTAAACGTAAGAAATAAAGTAATTTGGAAAATTCCGAAAAAAAAGTTCACGCAAAGTTTTCTATTACCCCTGTGGCTTCTTTACTCAACGCGTGTTCGAATCCCATTTATCAAGTAGGGACACGCCACTGCAAAATGAGGTTCGGGCGGTTGCTTAGCGAACTGTTTATTGTAAGTAAACACATTGCGCGACTGACAAGTGTAAAAGCAAATGTGATATCTGTCGCGTGTGTTTCGGGAATATGGGAGATGACGACAAGAAAAAGAAAGAAGAAGGCAAACAGGATGAAGGCGAGGATGAGCGACTGGAATTTATTCTTTCCTACCTCACGAAATCGTACAGACTCAAACAGGAAAAGTGGAACAAAATGATATCCTTAGAGGAAAATAAAGTAAGTTTGCAAATTGATTTTAAAAAAATTCTTAGGAATAGGTAGAGAAACAATCAGGTGCAAATATGTTTTACATAAATTTGACATTTATGTTCAAAACTTGTCAGATGTTACATGCTTTTAATTTTTATTCATATTATCTTTTATATGCGAAATATATACGTTTATAAATACCTAACGATTTTTCTAAGAATTTCGACAATTAGTAGGGGGTAAGGAAATTCTCAAAATATTTTTCTATTTATTAAAATTAAACCTGTTTACCACTTATCAATTTTTTTACTCAATCAAATCAAGGAATTGTAAATTGGCAATTTTATTTTGGTGCGTGTTATACTAAAATTTCTTTTTAAAAATATTATTTTTTTATTTATTTGAATTAGCTTTACCTTTATAATGGATTAAAAATAATACAATAATAATTGTTCAAGATTGGGCACAATAGAACCCGTTCTAGTTTACTAGATAATTTGTGGATTTCGAGTGGCTCAAATTATCTAAAATTTTGATTGCCGCAACTTTCCCATTACTTCAGATTTTCATCAACAACTTTTCTCTGTCCAACTGGTGACAAAATTAAATAGTTTATAATTAAATCGGTGAATTTGTTGGTGAGGCACCAGTCCATCAAATATTCACTTCGATTTTACTGATGAAAAGAAAATCCGACGTTGTCTAATATGACACAGTCGTTATTTCAGTTAGCATTTATGTGATTTGATATAAGTTATTTTTAAGACTCTTTTAGCACCATTTAGTAAGAAAATATAAATCATTTAATTATTTTAGTTTTAAATGTGAACAGATGACAAGTGGTGGTTTCAGCATTAACAGTCAATTTTGTTTTCTTTCTTCCCGTTTGGATACCATAGAATTTTCACCTACAACAATAAAAACCAGCCGTGCCGTCGTTAATTCGTATGGGTGAAATGAGAAAAAAAATCTAGGTTACTATCTACAATTTTGACAGATTTGACATTAATCTCTATTTGTCACAGATTTGTACTAAAATATGGTATACAGGGATTTCAGTATAAATGCTTAGTTTTCGCTATAGAGGATATTAAGTACAAATTTTTATTTTTATTTTTTTGATTATTTAGGAATAATTTCCAAACAAATTTGAATGTTGGCATAAAACTTGGAGTGCGGTTTTTTTTAGGACGCTAAATTTAAATATGTCATAGGTTTTGACGCTGCTTGTAGAGGGCGTCACCTACAAGGGTACGATTGAATTAAATTGGCCCTAACTTTTTTGCTACCCTGTACATTGAAGTTTCATATTAATACGTTTATTCCATTATCAATTCTAAGCAAAAAAGATATACCTACTTGGTTGAAATCTCTGAAAACAACCGTTTCCGAAATATTGGCTGAATAGTTAATAATATTTACCTACCGCGAAAAAATTTTAAAGCGCCACTGTTTTGTGTGTTGCAAAAAGTTTGTTATTTTTCATACAACTAAAAACAGATTTTAATAAAAAAATATGGTTGGTATTCAATTTTGAACATTTCTAGTGATAGTATAGTATTTTGAAATCTCTCAAAAATATTAGGTATTGAATTTATTGTTACACATTTAGCAATCAACAGAAAATGGTAAATAGCGACGTAGGTACTTAAGTATCTGCTTATTTAACTTCCTAATTATCTAAAGACCGGTAAATTTTACTAATACTTCACAAGAATACTTTATTGCCACAAATTAATGGTACATTTTAATTTAAAACCATTTAAAATTATTTAAAAAACCGTACGATTGCGTACGATTTTTTTTTCAAAAAACGTCCCCTTCTCCCCCAATAACTACGCCACTGGAGTGCATTTTGGAATAAGTTATCCATGAAAAAATAGTCCCTATTAAAAAAATGTCAAATTTTATCACTTAATCTTTTATGTCAGTGAAATTACAGGAAAATAATATTGAATATTTGAAACTATTAACACCCTGTACCTCCGTAGAGAAGCGTCCTATCAAAAATTTTTATAGGGCAAATATGATTATTTTCATTGGTAAAATATGCCATTAAAGTTTGGCAAAACTTATCATTAACACCCTATATATGTAAGAGCTTTTGTAGGATTGAAATGTCTGAATATCAAAAATTTATTGTAAATACTAGAAATATTGTAGGCATTACTATAGCTTGATCGATTTTTATTCTAAAAGTTGGTAGCCTTACGTTTTGCCAATAAAGCAATCAATTGTAACATCTGTAATGATGGTCAATATTAATACAACAAATTCAAATAAAATTTAACCGTTATCAATGTATTTTTTAAAATATCTTCTTAATAGGTCGAAGCGTTCGCATCAAATTTAATACATATTCTTGGCTACTGTTGACTCTTACTTATAGAGGGTCACAAAAATATTAGTTGCGTGCAATCCTCTTTTCTATAGGCACCTTGATAAAAAATTGTAAAATTATATTATGTTTCAAAATGCAGGTTTAGACTCCATTACAAGAAAAAAATGGTAATTGAAAAAATTTTGCTAAAGGATACCATTGCTGAGTTAAATTAAAAAGTATGTTATCGTGTAATAATTACTGCCAATGATAAAGCGTTAGAGAAAGCTGTGATATGCTCAGATTTCGTTCAAATCCCCAACAAGCTATGTGGAAAATTATAAACCAACATAGAAAAATACCTAGAAATACAACAACGCAAATCACTTGCGGCGAATTCAATAATTATTTTGCTAACAATGCCAATAATATAATATCAAAATTGCCACCTTCAACAACTCATTATAGAAGTTATACCGATAACGACAGCCACAACAATAAATTTTCTTTCACCCTTGTTTTATATCATGAGGTAGGTGAAGTCATCACATCTTAAGGACATAAAAATTTTCGATCCTCAACGATATTTCAGTAAAAATATTGAAGAGTATTAAGTAAAGGCACTATAATATTTCCTCTTACTCAGTTACTTAATTTATGTCTGTCCCAGAATATTTTCCCTAGTTGTCTCAAAATCTCCATTGCGACGTAATTCATATCAATAGTGGCACAACAATACAGTAAACATTCTTTTTTCCCATTAATTTTTCTTTCTTTTTGTACTTTTGTGTGAGTACCTACAACGCGTTTGAAGCTTCAAACAGTTCATTTTAGCATCTAAAAATATTAATTGGTTTTTCAACATGAATATCCCAGCTTTCTTTAACGTATAACTTTGGTAATAAGTAACTGTTATATGATTTTTATTCGAAAACCTTGTTCTCTAGCAAATCTTTTCAAGAGTGATAATTTTTTCAGTCAACATTCTTTTGTGCTTTGTAAGAAGCAACAAAATTTGATTTTTTTTCATTATGGTGGTTATGGAAAACTGGATTCCATGCATTTAAAAAAAAACATCATTGTTAAAAGGTCATCTTCAAACTGTTATATCTTTGTAAGGAGTAGTAAGTGAGCTGGTTCAAATTTTTTTTTATTAATTGTTTAACTAAGAAACAGAATTATGGAAAACCCCGTATAACGAATTGTGGCAATATCTTGACAATTACTTGTACAATATGTTAGGTCAAGAATTGAAAATGTAAAACAAGTATACATAAGTTAGGAACTAAAATGTTTTGATTGAAATTTTTTCTTCATTTTTATTTGGACATTTTGTAGGTATTTTGCCACCTGTGCCCAACTGCCCATAAAAACTATCACATCTACTTTAACACAAACTTTAGTTTCCAGAACGAATAAAAACTAATTTTCAGGGCGTAAAATATCTTAAATGAAGTCTGAAATGATATTTATCTATATTTTTCAATATGAGATTTTTAGTTAAACATGAATAATTTCATAAATAATTATTGTCTGACACTTTTTCGCAAGTGTTAATTTAATTTTTTTCACAAGGAAAAACATTCATTATTTTAACAATAATTATAAATATTAATAAAGCTCTACTTTTCGGTTAATTTATTGCTTCGTTTTTGTACTAGAATAGTAATATTTAATAAATGTATTCTAATATCATCTCAAAATTTTTAAACAAGTAATGTACAGTCTTCTGCAAGAACCAAGTGACAGCTTGAAATGTACTTACTTCTGTTATTAAAAATAAAAGTTTCTTTTTAAAACATGCGGGAAAAGCAGGTTAAAATGTTTGTGGTATTAAGAGGTTCTTTAAGTATGCTTATATTTTAAAAATTCATGAAAGAATTTAAAATATTTCTTCCGCCTCAACTTCTTTTACTGGAAGTTAGAATCAAAATCAAATGAGTTACTATATTTTTGAGGTATTTACAACTAAAGACAAATAATTAAATTATATAGGTGTTACAAATGCAAGTGTCTAGTATAAGCAAACTTTTCTACTTTTTCTTTTCTAACTTCGCCCCACAACAATCAGTTAATTGTAGCTTTCATCAAACTTATTTTTGCCATAATGAGAAGTAGATTCCGAAACACCAATAAAAAATATTATTCGGACTACATTTATGTTTCGTTTAACAGAATAATAGCTGATTCGTTATTTAAGTGTTATTCTCATCTTTTTTTTAGAATATGAGAATATTGCTTTGTTACATAAGTATAACACACTATTCCATTTGTGTTACGCTAAATCTGTTAGTTTTTAAACCAATTACAGCTCATTTAACACCAAAATGGTTATAATCTGTTAATTTGAATTTATTTTAACTGTGTGTCTGCCCATTAAATGGGAATTATTTCCAATAGGCAGATAATAGGATGAAATAGTGCTTTGTGTATAAATGTGAAATTTACGGTACCCTTCATATTGTCAGTATTAATTTATAGAACACTAATTTTAAATTTAAATTATGTGGTATAACAATTTTCCTCCAATTAGTCTAATTAGTATTAAGTACTCGCATATGGAAAGTACAATAATTATTAGTTATATAGGTATTGTTATTAATAGTAACTGGAATCTTCAAAGGGGGTAAAATTATTTTTCGGAAATATTCAAGGTAAATTTTTTAAACAGGAATAACTAACTCAAAACCAAAATCGAACAAATAAA